TTTTTTTTTATTTAGTGTTCTGTCTGAGGACAGGTCCATATGAACAGGATCCTTCCCTCCTTTTCTCGGCCTGGGACCTGTTCATATACGTTCTTGGCAGATGATCCAGAAGTGGTTTGCCATTGCCTTCTTCTGTGTGTGAATGGAGTAATTGTTGGGATGCCACGGAGATACCGGGGAAGCCCCTGGAGGAAACCCCGTGTTGCCTTTACCACGGCCTTGCCCAACACAAGTTATAAATTCGGGCACCGCCGGGAATCGAACCCGAGACCCCCAGGATTACAAGGCCAGCGTTCTAACCACCGGGGCTAATATTCTGATTAACAAAGTTTATTACGTATCGCTAGCTCATATTTATTGTTGCTGGTCACAATAATTGGTTTCAATGTTTTTGTTTTCAGATCATGATGATGACTTCCTTGAGCCCGCAGCCATGTTGTTAAACCGAACGCACTCTGGAGAGCAGTACGTTGGAGAAGGCGAACGCCCAAGTGGGAGGCGTTCGAAACGAACTGTGGATAACGAATATTACTATGATTCTGGACTGTCAGCGCCCAAGAGAAACAAACGATCGTATTCCCAGGAATACTTCATCGAACTCATGGTGGTTGCCGACAAGAAGATGGCAGAATACCATGGAGACGGTCTCTACCACTACATCCTGACTTTAATGTCCATTGTGAGCACGTTGTTGTTGTTGTTGGAGACGGGGAGGTCTGTTATTATAGTTACTATGTAGCAAGGAATTCAGAAATTTGTAAATTGTACTCCTTAGCGAGTATTAGTATCATGATGTTACGTCGAATCGGATGCGGTGCGTATGTTCGGCGATGTGAGAAACGCAGACAAGGTTTAATTTGAAATCTGAAGCGAATATAATAGTAAAATGTACCCATAGGAGTCAAGGCAGACGCCTGGATTAATCTGGCAGTGGAAAACATTCATTTGATGGCCTTTGAAAAGGGCAGTAGATCTTCGAGTTTCATGAATAGCGAAGAATTTCTTAACCGGTTGAGCATTCATCAGTTGTTTTAAGTTTGTGAAGATTGTTATTGGAATTAGCATCTTTTAGTGTGGCAGGTATTGACCGACGTTTCAGAGGTCCTTGCTGGCTGCGTCATTAAAGAATTGAATCTGTGATGATTTAGCCAATAAGCTCCTGCGAAACGTTAGAATCTACTCGACTGCAAGGTGCTACATCCCAGAAAAGAGACTTCTTAATACTTGTCGCTATGAGAACCTTTAATCTCATCTTTAAATTTACTCCTGATACATTGATGGCCTATTAAGAAAAACAACTTAAAGCCATGGAACGGATATAAAAGGAAGCTGAAACATTTGTTTCAGATGTGTTATAAAACGCGAGCAGTATCAGACATCAGCGTATGACTCTCTGCTACGACTTCCATAAAAAAATTTGGCCTTGAGATAAAAGTGACGGGAAAAAGGACCATAGATCTTCCTTAGAGATGTCACTCGACATTTGGCTAACTAAAGCCCTCGAGAAACTGTCAGATACGGTTGGTTCTCAGTTGTCATTTCTTTCGAATGAGAAGGCGAAAGTGGGGGGGGGGGGG